CAGATCTCGGGGCACTGGCTTCTCGACTGTCGAACGTGGTCTCGGGGATTTCTGTTCTCTGAGGTAGGGGTGTGCGCCCCCTTGGTAGGTCTGGCAGCCCTGCGCCTTCTGCAGCCCCAGGGACAGACGGCAACACGCTTGGGATTGTCACACAGCTGCTCTTCAGATAGCACTGCTCGGTCCATCTGCAGATTTTGGCTGTGTAGAAAGAAAAATAAGGGCCATTTGTCCCAGGTTTTGCCCCTAAGTGACAGCTGCAGTCAGGCAGCTGGCCATACCCAGCTCCAGGGCAAGTGGCCGCTCTCCCAACATCAGCTGTGTGCCATGAGCGGCTGGTGGGCACTGCCAGCCCCGCCAGCTCCTCGCTTCTTCTGTTCAGAAAGTGCCACAGGTCCAGCACATTGGCAAGTGCACCCACCGTTATTTTCTATATATTCAACACACAAACCACGCTGGAGTGACTGCGCAGCCAATACAGGCCGCGCTACACGGGCCCATTTTGTATTTGTAACGTTACCTCAACTTTTATGTTTCAGGCAATAGTGATCTTAATGATGTTGGGCATAATAACTCCTGTAGTAAAACCATTTTTTCCCAATAGGCATTTTCTTTTTTATCAACCACTAGTAACTGAGATCCATAATCCTTGTGAAGTTACTAGGATTAATTGCTTTTGCAGATCACATCAGTAATATACTCTGAAAATCAAAATTGTGTCTGCATTTTTCAACATTAAATGTACGAGCAGAGTTTTCTGGATGCATAATTTTTAAATGTTATCTGCCTAAAGTAAAGTTGCATAAAGAAAAGTTGCGACTGTATTGCAAGGTAATCAGTTTTCTTGCTGATTGCCTCTACTGGCTTGGCTGACCTGACTGAGAAGCCATTTCTGCAGTCAACATACTTTTTCACTTCATGTCAATGAACTATGATTCTCCACAGGAAAAGAAAATTGGTGTAACATAATTGTTGGAGTATTTTTATCAATTTAAAATAGAGACTGCTTATTTAATATCTCTTTCTCTCTCTTAGACTATGTTATGGTTTGCGAAGTGCTGTGATGCATATATTAATTTTGATGTGCATATTAATTTAGAGACCAAATATGCACATGTTATAATGTAATGAATCTATAATTATGCAGTATATTATGCTGACAAATGTACTGTATGCTGTCAGGCAGTAGAAAAACAGCTGAAGATCTGTGGCTTTAAGAGGAATGTGGATGTCTTAGTACTGTATCTGGCTGGACAGTAAGTAAAATACGTTTCTCTGGCTTTTACTAAAAGTAGAGCACACAGTAAATGGTAACTTTTCATAGTGCTTTCTATATCAGATACTCTCTGAACATCATTTATATGTGAAATATCAGTAAATCTTATTTATACCTAGTCTGTACATGTTGGGAGGGAAGAAACGGTAAAGATACGCTGACACATACATAGCAGAGCTATGCTCACAGTTAACTGCCTCAGCCCTAGATACACAAACCTTCTCCAGCAACCCAGAATTGCTCGAGGGTCTGTAAGTTCACAGAGTTGTGCATGAACTTCTACCACAGGGAGCAGGGGAGTGAGGCTTAATGGGCTGATTTCTGCCTGTTCTAACTGGCTTGTAAGACTGGGCGGAAAGAGTATCAAGAAGGTAAATGAAAAAACACAGGACCTGCCCAGTCTAAGAACTGCCAAATTTCTGACCTCCCTGAAGAAATCTGTTATTGCAACAGTAAAACTCATTGGTAGGACCTTTGAAATTACCTCCATCTCTACTGTTAGGAACTGAGGGGAGGGCAGGGCAACATGAAGTGAGTACAAGTACAAGAGCACTTGTTTGGGGCTGGCAGTACTGATCAGAGAACTGATCTCTAAGAGCTTTATGAAACAGCGTAAGTAGGGCAGATGAGAAGAAGCCATGCTAAGTGAAGGAAGGCAAAGCTTTCATGAGCCTGTGGGTGATCTAGGTTGATAGAGGTGTGTGTTGTAGGATGAACATGCTGAGAAGCTACCATAGAAAGATGGGTACGTGACAGGGCATACTTCAAAGTTTTTGGAAAGCATACTTTGAATTTCTGGCCAGGGCTTAATTCCAAGTATTGCATACCTGTCTGCAGCCTCACAACTGCATCTACTGTTTGTACAGTTGGTACATATATAAAGAAGTAGTTTAATAATTTAGGGACAAGGTTTTCAAGGTCTCTAGGTCCTATGAATACCAAAAAAAAAGAGGTGTTAAGGGATTTCAGTGTTGTCTAGCCTGATTTTAGTGGAAATCAGGTGATCTTGCAAATCTAAATGTGCACACTAATGTCTTTAAATTCCTCAGCATATCTCCTGATTTACACCAAGAAAGTGTTTGATGCTCTGTGACAAGAAAATTTAAAACATATAGTTACTGTTAAAATTATTAAAATATTTATTTTAGAAAGAAGAAAACATACATAAAATATGTGAGAAGTTTAATTAATGAGACAATTACAAGATGCAGATATTATCTAAACAATACAATAAAATTATTATGTGTATGTGTGAAAGAATTAAGCCTGTGTATACAGTCGTAATAGGCACTATATTAAATGTGTGCCCTCACTGGCTTTGAAATATTTTTTGGTATAGAATAAAAAGAAATGTTCAGATGGCCGATATAGAAGCGATCTGTCTTCTGTGAAACCATTTTGAGAAAGATGTTGCAAGCTGGCTTCTTTGATGATTGGAGAGAAGTGAATTCCTTTTATTCTATACCAATTTATATAAACCTTGAACCTCAGCCAGTGTCAGTATCAGATCATGCCTCCTTAACTGTTGATTTGACATAGTTTTCTGCTGGCTGAAATAAATAAATGAAAAAATAATAATTAAAGTCAATCAAATAAGGGGGGATGAGTTTATATTTTTAAACCACTACTATTAAAGGGACATGGAAGAATGTACTTTTGGATACTGAAAGCTGTCATCCTAGGAAAACTGATTAACTTAGCAGTAGGTCGGAAAAGAGTGCTGCAGGCCAAAAAGGATCAGTTTGTAAGAGACATGCAAAGTCTGGAAGGCATACAGAAAGGGACAAGCTCTTTTAAAATGTTAGAGGAATTAAGCTCTACCTGGGGCAAATTAAATGCCTTAGTACCAGAAAAAAAAAACAACACAACAGTTCAAGGCTTGGAGATAGTCAAGATGAGGCTGTTACTAGAGGGGAAGTAAAGCCAATTAAAATGTAAACCTGTAAACTAAGTATAGAGTGTCAGTGACAAAGAATATGAGAGAAATTTTGGCTTTGCTACCTGAAAATAGTTCAAGGCTGTATGAGTACAATTATACAGACGAATTAGATGATAGCTGTGTAAGAGCTCTGTGTGTCCTGTCAACACTCATCTGCTTATGTTTACTACTTGCAGTAATGTATTTTCTGGTTACTTGTGACAGTAGACACAAATACATATTTGCAGGGTTCATTTTTGTGGATTATTTGAGGAAGTCAGATAAACAGTTTAACAAAGTAGCAGCGTGGGATAATCTGATTTTCAGAAATACAGGAGAATAAAAGTACAGCATCTCAACTTTGTAGGGTTTGCTCTTGGCAGATTTTTTTTTCAAATGCAAGATCAGAAAAGGTGTCCACTCCCCCTTTGTATCTGGAGGGTTTGTTAAAAAAAAAACCAACACATGGAAAATTTAGAGGTTAGACATCATAGTTGGAAAACAAGCAGATTATTTCAGGCTGATGATGTGAGGTTAATTTTTATCAGTCCTGCTAGTTCCTTCTGAAACACTGTCCCTAATCTTTCAACATGTTCAAATCCATGAGGAAAGTTTTATTATGTCAATAAAAATTTCTCGTGTAAAGGTCATCTACAATTATTCTAGTGGAAATCAAGAACATTTATTTAAAGAAATTAAAAATAAGGAGAAGCAATTAGTAAAAATTACTCAGCAGTTCACTAATGTTCTCTGGTTAGTAGGTAATTTGTTATTTATGGTACACTAGCAAGATCCAAGTGTTAGATACGCAATTAAACAAAAAAACCCTACCAGCAAATAGGATATAGTTCCAGCCTCAGTGGATGTGCAGTTTGATTTAAAACATGACTGTTAATCAATATGGGTAAATACTAAGTTTATATGAGGAAGGGAGAGAAGAGAGGGGAAAAAAGAGCAAAAGATTCACAATATACACTAATATGAAAAATAGTAAGAAATGTACTTTGATGTGCTTGGTGTTGATGTCTTCTGTTGGCTTCTCTGGCACCGTAGCTGAACAATCCACACTGCACCATCAAAGTAATTTTCCTTTTGGATTTGTTCCCCAGGATGCCAAACGTCTCCCATGTTCTGAGCAGAATTGCTACAGACTGAAAAGTACATGTGACTCATAGTCCCTGAGAAAATAAATGCTGTTATGGAAAAAAAAAATCCCAAATCTATCACTTACTTTGTTCCCATTTCTTTACCACCTGCTGCTTTGTTATGCTTTCAGGTGTGTAGAATGCTTACACTCTGCCATCTGGTTCTTTGCATCTTTCTCTGCTATGATTTCTATAGGAGAGAGGCTTTTTAGTGCTTGTATAACGTTATTTATAAAAAATTCCACCATTTAGAAAGTAATTAAGCACCGTTAAAGTTAAGCAATTTGTTACTCTTTTTTTTTTTTTTTTTTCTTCTACCAGAGGATTAAGAAGAATCCCAAGTCTATCACGGTTTCATAGGTTAAGGTATTTGTGGATTAACAACAATAAGGTAATAAAGTATTCCTTTAAAGAGCAGAACAATGCATCTCTACTCCCTGATTATTATTTCATAATTTTTCTAACACAAACTATTTTAGAATTACTAAGCTGATTTAGTTTCCAGACAAATTTAACTGAAATAGATATGTTTTGAAGAAACAGTATCTTGTTTTACATTACGTTTATAAATTTTGTTTATTTAAAGAGCTGCAGTTTTGTGCTAATGCCTTAGTAATAAAAAGAAAGTTTGAGTGTATTTAGAACTAAGTTATTAGCAAAACTGCCTGATAGCATACTGATACCTGAGGTCTGGGATAGCAGTTTCCAGCATAGCTCATAGCAAGTATACCCAGCCCACTGGAGCGAGCAGCTCTTGGAACAGTCTGAGGAGTGACATGACTGTAAGACTGCACTTCCTAGTTTTTCAGGAAAGGAGTGCACTGCAGGAAATGCATAGCTCATTTTTTATGCCCTTGCAGACATGCATGGTTTATTTCCTGGCAGGCTGGTGGTTGAGGTGAGACTCCTTCTTGCCCTCATGCACACAAGAGTGACATAAGACTCTTTCAAATGTGCTTCTCCTTGTGCACAGGAAGTAGCTCTGCAATGCTAGGCTTGAGGGGGTATCTTCTGCCATTATGCAGGCTGTTGTGTCACCTAAACTTGTTCAATTTAAGACTGATTTCCAGGCGAGTGATTAGAGTATGACATTGGGCCACATTAATTTCTCGTTTCCAGTGCCCTGTGTGGTCCTAAATCGGTTACACAAACCAAGTGCCTCACTTTGTCCATCAGTGCAAATCTGTATTACAGAATTTATTATATCTTGTAGGGGGCTTAAGATAATGTTCTGTTAAAATCTCCGGACACTACAGTTTCCAGCCAAGTCTAAGCACCTTGTATCTTAAACAAAATAATCTACTTGACAGTAGAATTACCTGATGTAGAAATCTCCAAATACATGGTCAACCATTATTAAATGGTTGAATTGATTCCAAACCTTCACCATTAACCAATGGTAATTAAAAAGCAAGAAAAGTGATAAACCCACAAATTTCTAACCTGCTTTTACATATCTTATTGTACAGTAGTTTACATGACTTTCACAGTGGGCTTAAGTTCTTAAAACACCATCTTGCTCAGGTAAATAAGTAGCTCTGTGAGCAGCAGAAAAAAAAATAAATTTACATTCCATGTCACTTAGGAGTGTATGTATATCTGCTGCCCCAGGCTAACATCAATTATGTAACATCTTATGTCGACTTAATTGAAAGACCTATGGTTACCCAGCCATTTCCCAAAAAAGCAAAAGTATGGATACATTAAAACGTTGAACTAAAATCACAGGTATAATAAGGCTTTCTGTTGTATTTCTAAAGAACACTAAAGAATAAGAAATGACCTAATGACTAAGCGGAACTGATCTTGCTGACCATAAAAGATAAATCTGATTTTTTCACAGATCTCACTTTCCCACCTAAGCAGTAATGAAGAGCTTTCTTCTGCTGTTCTGTGTAACTTGTCTGGAAGTGTCATTTTCTATATAACTTGTGTGAAGAATTTAGGAGAAGTCTAAATGCTCTAAGAGGGGGAGCATATTTTTCTGAACCCAGAAGACCTGACTTTTTTTTTTTTTTAAACTAAAAAATGCATCACAATAATTTTATCACAAAAAAGTAAATTTCAGATGATCCTAAAAAACCCAAACTTGTCAAAGATAGAGAAACATCACTATATACAATAGGTATGTGTGGGCTTTACAGTATACAAGATACAATAATCATTGTGAAGAATAGAATTATTTTTTTAGAACATTGCTGTTTTCAGTGAACCAGGTTTTTCTGAGGTGAAGCAAGACTCAGAGAATGGTATTATTGTGAACTTTAACATATCTTTTCTCAGAGGATTTCAGAGAACTTTAGGAACTGAAAAAAACTCTGTTTCATTCTCCTTCCAACTTTCAGATACTGTTAATGCACGGAGAAAGCACATTTGTTTTAAAATCAATGGCACAATTCAGGGACTAAAATCATTCCCCCACTAACAAATGATGTTGTATCACAGAACTCAAAGTAGCATCGGGAATAAAGTTCTGGTTGTTGACCTGGCATTTAAACTCTAGGATAAATACTTAGGCACCATTTGTACTCCCAGTTCTCAACTGTTACAATGGTCAGCTTGATTTCCCATTGCATATATTTACTTTGCGTTGAAGTCAAGACAATATTAGAACTGAGCTTCTTCAAGCAAGGGGATGAGATTCCATAGGGACTGAAGGCAATTTTTTGTTGAGAATATACCCATATATGCATTTTTTTCCCCATAATTGTGATTTATTCTGTAAATTTGATTTAATGTCATTTTTTAAAATTTAGAGCAAATATGTGCTCTTTGGACCTGCTGCTGAAGAAGTAATTTTAAAACTAGATGCTGCTCTTATTCCAAGGATATGTTTCAGGAATATTCTTAAATCAACATAGAATTATTACATCCTACAAGAGTGTTCTCACAATAAAAAATATTTCAAATGTGAAAAGAATTAAAGAAAATGTGAAGACCAGTAATTCAATGAAATCTGTTTCCAAATGCAAGTACTACATTTGTAGTTCAAAAAATTAGGTAAAGCTGTACTACTACTATTTGATGTGTAATTAGTATTTCTAACAAAGGTTCAGCTGTCAAGAGAATCCTTAAACCAAGTCAACAGAAATAAAATATATATAGTTAAAATATATAGTTAAACAGTTTGCAAGAGACTGTGTTTATACTTCTCCAAAGTTAATTTTAGGCTGATATGTAAGTTTTCCTAACTCTAATTTCAGATCCAAGATTTAACTTTCTTGATCAAGAACTATTGTTTGACTGAACTCTACCTCCACAATAACGAACTGACAGATATATCAGGTACCAGTCTTCCCTTTATAGATTGTTAATTAGAAGCCTGTACTTTCCTTTCTGTGTTTTGGCATTCAGATTTATGGAAGTGGATGACAGCAAGTAACTTAATGGTTGAAAGTTCCTATGTATGTGTAACAATATGTGTTAATTATTATTTAATTGTTCTAGCATACTTGAGTGGCAATAAGGTGATACATTTATCCTGGTCTAAGGGATGAAATGCCTTTCACTTTAATGTCAGGCAATTCTGAAATATCTATGATCTTACATGACTGTATTTTATATTGAAAATGAACATGCAGAGCTCTTTTTATATGATTTGTAGTCCTCTTGCTGACCAGAGACTTGATAAGCTGATAGAAGTACATTAATGTTTTTATGATGAAAAACTTAACATGAAAATGAAAGGGTAATAAATCACTAAGTTGACCCACATGTAAGGTAGTCACCAAGGTTCCACAGTTTCTTCATTATATAGTTACATTTATAATCAGAAGTATTTTGCAAAGTTACTGCAAAACTATTTTATTGTAAAATTGCATCTGTCTTACACTTCTCTCCCAGTTTTGCTTGCTCTTGTAGATTAAGATGGGTGTACCAGATAAGTGAATTTGTGAATGAAGAGGTCAAAACATAATAAATTTGTGTATATTTTAGACATTTTAAATGTTAATGTTTTACTTTTCTCTGTCCCTATAATATGTTGGAATGAGAACTGATCTTGATTAGTTTCTGTGAGATTTTGAGAAAAATAAATGGTTGGAAGAAAGAAACATGAGCACAAGAGACATAACAGAAGATAACAAAATAGGGGTAAACAGGAGGGCAAGTGTCATTGATAAATGTGGAGAAGAGATACTGTATAGAATCTGGAAAATGAGATGTCAGCCTGATGTGGGTGAGGATGTGAACAAATAGTCTGAGTCAGCCACAACAATATTTTGTAATAACTTTTTAATACATAAATAATTATTTGGAATTGAACTGTTTTCTAAGGAATTGACCATTTATTGCTTGTGAGGCAAAGGCAGTATTAGGGATATACTATTGTTGGTGAGGAAAAGGTAATATTAGTTCAGGGTAAAAGGAAGTGAAGATGAATTAATCAAAGATTACTGAAATAAAGGAGGAGGGAATGAAGGAAGAAGAGAGGATGCAGTTTATGTTGAATTGTTAAGGCAAGGGTGATAGGGAGAAATGGAAGGAACTGAAATGAAAAAAAGTTAGGCATATGTTAAAAGGATCTGACTAGAACGATGAAAGCAATATTGAAATCTTGGATAATTTGTTTTGGTTTTCTTTACTAATCTTGTGCAAGGTGTTTCCAAAAGGCAGGCATAGGTGGATAACCAGAATATCGAATTCACAGCAAAATAATTCTCTAATAAAGGCAGTCAGGTATGGTGAGAATAATTAATTATTTTTTATTTTATTTCAGGTGCTCTGAAACACCTATGTGCATTACAGATTCTGTTGCTTCACAACAACCAGTTAAATACACTTGGCAAAACAGTGAAGGAATTGAAAGGAATTATAAGCCTGCAGACTCTAAGTAATAACTTATTTTTATTTTGCAGAACAGCAAGCAGTAGTTCTTTAGACTTTCTTATCAGGATGTTTCTTGTTTGTTTCTGCATCATTTGCCGATAGCTTTTGAAGCTAATTATCAATTTCAACCAAATTTTACAGATGAAAGAGATCTCTGAGACATGCAAATTGCACAGAGAGTACCTCAACTAAGAAAAAACGGCCAAATGAGTTCAGAAGTTAAAACTTTTTGACTGCTGGCTAGCCAGTCTCCTGAATGAGTAGCTTGGACACAGTCAAAGGAGTTTATTGCTGCCTTTGTGTAAGGGAACATGGGAGTAGAGTGAGATTATCATAGAGGTGAAGGAAGTTGACAAAAGAGTGTTACTGCTGATGAGAGTATGATAGGTTATTGAACCATAATTCCTGGCTCATTAATTCTGTTTTTCATAGAATTTATTTTATGCATCTCTTTGGCAGACTGTGGGTTTCTAGAGTCTAAGAATAAATATACTTCAGATGTCAAGTATAATGGTATCTATTAATTAGCATACTTTCTGATAGACCGGCTGTGTGATAGTTTAGGCCCTGCTGGGACCGGAAACCACGTTGCTGTTGTCCCTCCCCCACCCTCGGACCAAGTAGGGCAAAAACCCTGGGGTTGAAATAAGGAGAAATTTAATACAACAGTGTAATAAACAATCTGAGCAACAACAATAGCAATAATAACAACAATAAACAGTAATAACAGTAAACAAGACAAAAGATATACAGAGAAATACCACAGTGAACACAGCCAGCCTGCGCACCTGCTTCCCATGACCAAAGCCTCAAAGGAAAGCTTCCTGTGCTGCTGCGCCGGACCTGAGGTCAGCATGGTATGAATAACCCGGCTGGAGATCCCTTCCCCCTGCTGGGGAAACTTAACCCTATCCTAGCTGAACCAGGACATAATCCACCCCTTTGTTCTATACCATCTGCGTCATGTCCAGCTGCCATTTAGCAGTTAAAAATAACAAAACAACAATTAACAAAGGCACAGCATAATTCACGGTGTGTTCTCACCCTGAATCAAGTCCCCCTGTGGTATGCATTGGACCTCTCCATTGTCCTGCATCACCCACTAGGTACACCCAGGTCCTTGGGCAAAAACAATCCCATGGATGGGTTTGCCTTTACCTTTGCCTGGCACAGGACTAAACCAGACCATTTTTCCCAATATATTCCTCATGCGCACCACAGGGACTTTATCCCCATCTACATCACGTGGAGGTCTCGACTGAGCCAGGCCAGCTTGACTGGCAGATCCTCTTGTGTTGACTAGCCAGGTGGCCTTTGCTAGATGCATGTCCCAGTCTTTGAAGGTGCCACCTCCCAGTGCTTTCAATGTGGTTTTTAACAGTCCATTGTAGCGCTCGATCTTCCCAGAGGCTGGTGTATGGTAGGGGATATGGTAGACCCACTCGATGCCATGTTCTTCTGCCCAGGCTTTCATGAGGTTGTTTCAGAAGTGGGTCCCATTGTCTGACTCAATTCTCTCTGGGGTGCCGTGTCGCCACAGGACTTGGGTCTCAAGGCCCAGGATGGTGTTCCGGGCGGTGGCGTGGGGCACTGGGTAAGCTTCCAGCCGTCCAGTGGTTACTTCTACCCTTGTGAGCATGTGGCGCTTCCTGTGGCGGGTCTGTGGCAGTGTGATGTAGTCGATCTGCCAGGCCTCTCCATATCTATATTTCAGTCATCGCTCTCCATTTCGCTGGGGCTTCACCCACTTGGCATGTTTGATTGTAGTACACGTCTCACATCCATGGATGATCTCTCCAATGGTGTCAATGGTGAGGTCCACCCCTCGATCTCGAGCCCACCTGTATGTTGCATCTCTACCTTGGTGGCCCAAGGTCTCATGGGCCCACCGAGCTATGAACAGTTCACCTTTGCGCTGACAGTCCAAGTCCACCTGAGCTACTCTAATCTTAGCAGCTTGGTCTGCCTGCTGGTTGTGTCGATGTTCATCAGTGGCCCGACTCTTGGGTACATGGGCATCCACATGGCGCACCTTCACCACAACGTTTTCCACATGGACTGCTATATCCTGCCATACTTCAGCAGCCCAGACGGTTTTACTCTTACATTGCCAGTTGCTCTGTTTCCATTGCTGCAGCCATTTCCACAGGGTATTTGCCACCACCCACGAGTTAGTGTAGAGGTAGAGCCTCGGCCACTTTTCCTGCTCAGCAATATCCAAAGCAAGCTGGATGGCTTCCACCTCTGCAAACTGGCTCGATTCATCCTGTCCCTCAGCAGCTTCAGTGACCCGTCGTGTGGGACTCCACACAGCAGCCTTCCACCGTCGATGTTTTCCCACAATGTGACAAGACCCATCAGTGAACAGGGCATATCGCTTCTCCTCATCCGGCAGCTCGTTATATCATGGGGCCTCCTTAGCACGTGTCACCTCCTGTTCTGGTGACATCCCGGAATCTTTGCTCTCTGGCCAGTTCGTAATCACCTCTAGTATCCCTGGGTGGCTGGGGTTCCCTATCCGAGCCCGTTATGTTATCAACACAACCCATTTACTCCACGTGGCATCGGTTGCATGATGCGTGGAGGAGGCCTTTCTTTTGAACATCCACCCCAGGACTGGCAGTCGGGGTGCCAGGAGGAGCTGTATTTCAGTGCCAACCACTTCTGAGGCAGCCCAAACTCCTTCATACGCTTTCAGTATCTCCTTCTCAGTTGGTGTGTAATTAGCTCAGAGCCTTTGTATCCCCGGCTCCAAAAGCCCAGAGGTCGGCCTTGGGTCTCCCCAGGTGCTCTTTGCCAGAGGCTCCAGGTAGGGCCATTCTCCCTGGCTGCGGTGTAGAGCATGTTCTTAACCTCCTGCCCTTCCAGGACTGGCCCAAGGGCTACTGCTTGGGCAATCTCCCATTTAATTTGTTCAAAGGATTGTTGTTGCTCAGGGCCCCATTCAAAATCGTTCTTCTTATGGGTTACGTGGTAGAGAGGGTTCACAATCAGGCTGTAGTTTGGGATGTGCATCCTCCAGAACCCCACTGTGCCCAGGAAAGATTGAGTCTCCTTTTTAGAGGTTGGTGAGGCCATGGCTGTTATCTTGTTTATCACCTCCATTGGGATGTGGCGACGCCCATCTTGCCATTTTATTCCTAGAATTGAATTTCCCTTGCAGGCCCCTTGACTTTCTTTTGCTTAATGGCAAAGCTGGCCTTCAGGAGGATTTAAATTATCTTCTTCCCTTTCTCAAAGACTTCCTCGGCTGTGTCCCCCCGTACAATGATGTCATCAATGTACTGCAGGTGTTCTGGAGCCCCACCTTTCTCCAGTGCAGTATGGACCAGTCCATAGCAAATGGTGGAGCTGTGGTTCCACCCCTGGGGCAATCGATTCCAGGTGTACTGGATGCCTCTCCAAGTGAACGAAAACTGTGGCCTGCACTCTGGCGCTACCGGAATGGAGAAGAACGTGTTAGCAATGTCAGTCGTGGTGTACCACTTGGCTGCCTTCGACTCCAGTTCATACTGGAGCTCTAGCATGTCCAGCACTGCAGCACTCATTGCTGGCGTAACTTCATTCAGGCCACGGTAGTCCACAGTTAGCCTCCATTCACCATTGGGCTTTCTGACTGGCCATACAGGGCTGTTGAAGGGTGAGTGAGTTTTGCTGATCACCTTCTGGCTTTCTAGTTGACGGATCAGCTGATGGATGGGGACCAGGGAATCTCGGTTGGTGCAGTACCGCCACCAGTGCACCGTCCTGGTAGCAATCAGCACTTGCTGCTCCTCAACCTTAAGCCGCCCCACCACTGAGGGATCCTCTGAGAGGCCGGGTAAGGTGGACAACTGCTCAACCTCCTCCAGGGCAGCTACACCAAATGCCCACCGGTACCCTTTTGGGTCTTTGAAGTACCCTCTCCTGAGATAGTCTATGCCCAGGATGCACGGGGCATCTGGGCCAGTCACAATGGGGTGCTTATGCCAGTCCTTCCCAGTCAGGCTCACTTCAGCTTCCAGTAGGGTCAGCTGTTGGGATCCCCCTGTCACTCCAGAGATGCAGATGGATTTAACCCCACTGTAGTTCTATGGCATCAGGGTGCACTGTGCGCCAGTGTCCACCAAAGCCTTATACTCTTGTGGGTCTGACGTGCCAGGCCATCGGATCCACACTGTCCAGTAAATCCGATTATCCCTTTCCTCCACCTGGCTGGAGGCAGGGCCCCTCTAATCCTGCTCATCATCACTGACTTCTTGTAAGAATGACTCACTGCTCCTCTCAAGAGGGTCAGACATAACGTTGGCCATTCTATTCTGTCTGGGGGATTTCCAACTGGACACTGGAGCTGCACTCCTCTTGGAGGACTCCCCTTTCGTGACGGTCTTCCCTTTCAGCTGCTCTACTCATGCAGCTAGGGCGGCAGTGGGCTGTCCATCCCACCTTCTCATGTTTTCTCCATGGTTGCAGAGGAAAAACCACAGGGTGCCTCGTGGTGTGTACCTTGTGCTGCCTTTCTCTTTGGTGGGGAAACATTTACTTCTAATGTCTGAGACATCAGCCCCTGCAGGTGGAATGTAGGACATGTCCTCTTCCACTCTCTGGACCCTCTGAGAGAAAGGGTCCTCCTTTATAGCTGAAACCCAGGAATTTTGTGATGAAGGGAGATTTCCCTCATATTGCCAGAGCTTGCCAACCACTCCATCCACTGTTAGAGTGTGGGTGTCTGTCCACCAGGACACTATTGCCAGTGCTTTCGAGTGCGCTTCTGGTGCACTCTTCAGGAACTTTCGCCACATCAGGTGTGTCCAAGGGGCCTGATCTGGGTCCCTGGGTGACTGCTCATTATTCAGATCACCATAGATCATCTCAAACACAGCCAATTCCCTGATATTCTGGATGCCTTTCTCCATATTGGTCCATTTGCTTAGCTGACATATCATCCTTGTAGGGGTGCCTCTCCCTTACACTGAGCAGGAGTCACCTCCAAAGGCTGAGAGTTTGAGTCTGTTTCCCTATTTC